ATTTCTTGAAATTTTTTATATATCATATTGCAGGATGTTCTAATGCATGACTATATTTTAAATTTCAAAGCATTTCATCAAAAAACAAAGGAGATATAGCCATTTAAAGTTTCAGCCAATCAGATTGCAGCGCACGTGCATGCGCGTGATTTCATGAAATTTTTTCCATATCATGTTGTAGGATATCCTATTTCATGACAATGTTAAAGATTTCAAAGCATTTCGTCAAAAAACAAAAGAGATATTGAGATTTTTGTTTCAGCCAATCAGAGCAAGGCGCACGTGCATGCGCGTGAGTTCGTGCTAATTTGACAGTGTCATATTATTAACACTATCAATATATCCTTATGTAATGAGTTTCAAAGCATTTCATCAAAAAATGTAAAAGTTATAGCTATATTAAGTATATCAGTCAATTCACTCATTTCACGCGCACGCACGTGCAGGCGTATGCGCGCAAAATGACCTTCGTTCCGCACAACTACACTACACACCTATTAACCCTAAAAAGGTTTTAGCTCAGTTGGGTGAACAGTTTCTGAGAACACTCGCGGACAAAAAAGTACCGGAGAACAAATAAGAAAAAAAATAATAATAATAATAATAATAATAAGAAACAGAGTAAAAACAATATGTTCCCAAACTCCGTTTGGGGAACATAATAATAATAAATAATAATAAATGCACTGATAGTTCTTTTTTAATCAGAGGTCTGCAATGAAAATCGACTGACACCCGGTGGTCGGGCTAGTGGTTTTCTGCAAGTTGGCAATTAAAAAAAATAATATTATTACACATGCAATACATGAAAAGCACAGCTGGTACGTATTTTCACTCGTTTTTTGCTACAAAAATCCCAACCAGTTAAAATTTTTCATATAACATGCTCCAACTGTCAATAAATCTCCATAATTATGTTCCCCAAACGAAGTTTGGGAACATATTGTTTTTACTTTTTCTGAATTTTCTTTTCTGAATTTTGTTCTCCGGTACTATTTGTCTGCGAGTGTTCTCGTAAACTACTCATCCGATCTAGGTGAAACCATTTTAGGGTCACTAGCTATGTTATGTAGATGTGCGGAACGAAGGTCATTTTGCGCTCACGTGCGTGCATGTGCGCACACGTGTGACACGTGCAATGGCCAATTTAATAGATATAGCCTTAACTTTTTTAATTTTTGATGAAATGCTTTGAAATTCATAATACAAGGATATATCAGTAGTAAAGACATGATGACATGGTAAAAATAGCAAGATCTCACGCGCATGCACGTGCGCTTCACTCCGATTGGCTGAAACTAAAAGTCAAAATATCTTTTTTGTTTTCTGACAAAATCCTTTGAAATTTTGAACATCGTCATACATTATGAAGATCTACAGTGTGATATATAAGAATAATCATAAACGCACGCACATGGACGTGTGCTGCAATCTGATTGGCTAAAACTTTAGATGCCTAAATTCACAGATTCGTGTTGTTTGTGGGTTTTTTGAGATTGATCAAAGTTCGATATCTTTACCTTTTTCATTAAATAAATACATTAATTTAAAGAAAGGTGTATCTTATTGCAGAATTTTGAGGAGGAATACTCCTTAAACACGTTTAAATTAAACATTTTCCTCTAAATTTATCTGTGGAAGAATTTCGCGATTTTAGATCTAGGATGGTCTTCATGTAGTGTTTTGGTGTCTCACTCAAAAGAAATAATTAAATATCAATGCTTGAATTCTATTTTATTTAAGAAAAAGTTGGGACAAGCATATTTTTTGGTAGGACAAGTAGTTTTACGATGGTAACCTGTCTGAGGGCAAGTACTGCAAAATTCTATTTGTCTACCCCTGGTTTAATGCATTTTGTGCGGGCGCATGTGCATGCACGTCCTTGCATTTACTTTTGTTAGTAGCATAATGTAGGCATTCATTATATCTAATTCATATTCGAAATTTCACCCTGTATTATTGAGAACTAAGAAAGTTTTAGGCATTTGAATAATCAGTAGTGCCCCTATCACACATGAACCCCTGACCCTAGGTCAACACTTTGCACAATTTTTGAAAAGGCACACTTGCTTATATGACTAAACAAAGCTTTTCTGTTATTATGATTTTCCGTTTATTTTCCAATGTAAAACTCTGATCCACTATTGAGACCTTTCCCTGCCCTTGGGGGTTAAATGTATAATTTGAACAAATTTAATTCTACAATACCTGAGGATGTTTCATATAAATATCACTAATCATGCTTTAGAAGATTTTTAAAATATATTCTAATGTAAAACTTGGATCCCCCATTGTGGCCCCACCCTATTCCCAGGGGGTTATGATTTGAACAAACTAGAATCTACACTTCCCAAGGATGCTTCCACATAAATATCAGTACTTGAGAATTTTTTTGAAAGATTTCCCTTTATATTCCTATGTAAAACTTTAATCAGCCACTGTGGCCTACCCCAACCCCAAGGGGTCATGAATTGAAGAAATTTGAATGTACACTACCTAAGGATGATTCAACATAAGTTTCATCTTTCCTGTCCCTATGGATCTTGAGAAGAAAATTTTTTGAAATTTTACCTTTACCCGGTATATTCCTACGTAAAATTTTGATTGGCCATTGTGGCTACCCAGGGGGGTCACGATTTGAACAAACTTGAATGTACACTACCTGAGGATGATTCAACATGAGTTTCATTTTTCCTGTCCCAATGGTTCTTGAGAAGATTTTTAAAGATTTTTCCTATATATTCCTATGTAAAACTTTGATGACCCATTGTGGCCACACCCTACCCTGAGTGTCATGATTTGAAGAATCTTAAATTTACACTACCTGAGGATGATTTCACATGAGTTTCATCCTTTCTGGCCCAGTGGTTCTTGAGAAGATTTTTTAAAAATGCCATTAATTTTTCCTAATTCATAATTATCTCCCCTTGGAAGAGGGTGTTGCCATTCAGCTGAACAAATTTGAATCCCCTTTACCCAAGGATACTTTGTAGCAAGGTTGGTTGAAATTGGCCCAGTGGTTCTTGAGAAGAAGATGAAAATGTGAAAAGTTTACAACAATTACTGCAACAACGACAATGACAGACAACGAACAAATTTTGATCAGAAAAGCTCACTTGAGCCTTAGGCTCAGGTGAGCTAATAAAAACAAATATTTCTGTAACATGTACTACACCATATACAAATATTGCACAAACACTTTATATTCCATATTCAACACCAATTCTAAACTGAGAGATGGTCTAGAGGGGATTTAGATATTATACATTCAGAGTTAGAAAGCTGCCTGACCTGAAGTGTTTTAGGAGCCTTGAACGGATGGGGTTCCTGCCTCCACCTAGTGGTCCACAGGCTGCCACCACATGGACGTCATAAATATCCTAAAATTCATATATTCTCAGTGTTCAGTAAAACTAGACTACGTATTTCACAAGTTAAATAAGCCCAACTTACAAACTAAGAAACACTCAAAGTCACTTCTGCAACTTTGGATATACATTTCATTGTTCTACAATAGATTTACACACATAATGATACATGTATTTATTTTCATACCTCCCATACAAGATGAGCTTTCCCAGCATGATAAAATCCACCAAGTTCCAAGAACTGCATCAGTAACTCTAGGGGTGGCTGGGCTCCATATACCTCAGCGGCCGGCATGTTCAAATCATCCACAAACACCAGCACCTTTTTCCCCCAGGGAGTCCCCAGTGTCCCTGCCCTTCTTGATGAGTTTGTGCATGATGTGAGCCTTAAGTCTAGCTGCTGTCGTCTGAGCTGAGAACTGAAACATAAAACTGATCACTCCAGCAGAACTTTTAGGTTTGGCTGTTCCCAGAAGGACGTTGATACATTTGGACTAGTCATTGTTGTCCATTTCTGTGAGTTTTGAGATACTCTCCAGTAGCGTGTTGGTCTTGTCTGAGTAGCTGAGGATCTGACCCAGCACGGTGCCACTCTAAGTGGATGTTGCACATCTTATCCCAGTCTGCCTAACATGTGGTTAATAATGGCCGACTTGCCAACTCCAGATTCTCCTAAATAGTGGAAATGAACAGTTTTACAGAAAACAATTAAAATAAACATAAACATAGGTAATCAGAGACTACAGAGCTCACCTCAATGAATGTTGTCTTTAAGTAAGGCTAAGTCACACAATTAACCAACAAAAAGTGTACATTCCAAAATTGAAAATATTTAAGCAATTTTAATCCGATACTTTGAAAAAATCTATATAAAAAATTTAAACTAGTTCTTCATCATGAAAATGTCACTAAGATCCAGCATCAGACGCAAATTTGAGTTTTCATCCCTTAATGCATCATTTGTGCAAGTTTGGTTTATACAATATTATACATGTATAAGCATTATAGTTTTTTGGTAATAGACCTGCACCAATAACTTTTACTTGGCCCATTATCTGAAAAATGTATGTCGAATTCAGCATCCGAAGCAAGTCCATTAGTGTGCATCCTAAGATGTTTCATCCATGCAAGTTTGCTCATAATAGGGCTCATAGTTAATTGGAAATGAAACCTGCACCAAAAACTTTAACCTATTCAATCAATCGGAAAATGTAGGTCAAATTCAGCATCCGAAGCAAGCCTGGTAGTATGCATCCTTAGATGTATCATCCATGCACGTTTAGGCAACATAGGGCTTATAGTTACTTGGAAATGAAACCTGCACCAAAAACTTTAACCTGTTCACTCAACCAGAAAATGTAGGTCAGTTTCAGCATCCGAAGCAAACCCCGGTAGTGTGCATTCTTAGATGTATCATCCATGCCATTTGGTCAACATAGGGCTTATAGTTCCTTGGAAATGAAACCTGCACCAAAAACTTTAACCTGTTCACTCTACCGGAAAATGTAGGTCAGATTCAGCATCCGAAGCAAACTCGATAGTGTGCATTCTTAGATGTATCATCCATGCCGTTTGGTCAACATAGGACTTATAGTTCCTTGGAAATGAGACCTACACCAAACACTGCACCAAAAATGTTAACCTGCTCCAAAAACATTAACCTGGTCATTCCTTTGCTGAAATTGCAGCATTTGAAACTTTGACTGATACAGTGATTGATTGATTGTATATTGTTTTACGTCCCTCTTGAGAATTTTTCACTCATATGGAGACATCACCAATGCCGGTGAAGGGCTTCAAATTTAGACCTATACTTGGCACTCAGGACCATTGAGCAGTGAGGGTTCTTTATCGTGCCAACGCCTACCGTGACACGGGACCTACGTTTTTAAGGTCATATCCGAAAGACCCGTGACTTTCACTTCTAGTGCCGAGCACTTGGCGAAGGAACAGTCACTACCTTTGTTTACGTCTTAGGTATGACGCGGCGCCGCGATCGAGAATCGAACCCGGGCCTCCCGATCACGAAGCGAACACTCTACCACTAGGCTACCGTGACCGGTGACTGATACAGTGAAACACACCAGAAGCATCTTCCATGCATGTCTAATCAATATAGGACATACAATTACTTAAAAAGAAAACTGCTTCAAAAAACTTAACCTTTAGGCCATAATAAATAAATTGCTAGATTCTCACCCGAATTTTTTTTAAAAATCGAGGTGTACGGGCGGCTTTTTTTTTATATTTTTTATTTTTTCAATTTTTGCAGATTTTTTTATGGACCTGGTCAATAGGTGTAATTTTATCTAAAATACCTGAATAAAAGTCATAGGAAAGGTTCAATTATCTCTTCGTACTTCACATCACCACCAATCTTTTTCAACCAATGACCTTTGTTTAAAACATATACGCATGTATTACAGGAATTAATATCTTTTCAGCTGTCAAAATCATGCGGACTTTTCCTTGATTTAAAATGAAAGTAGAATGGTAGATAAATACCGATCCCGATCAGAATTAAGACAAAGATAAACAGAAATAAAAAAAATCGAGGCGGGGGTATAAAATCGAGGCGGGCGGGGATGAGAATCTAGGAAAATTTTAATATGTCCTAACCTAGGACACTGACGCCAACACCGAGGGTATTACATAAGCTCCCCAACTTCGTTGAGGTGAGCTAAAAATACATCTGTAAATTTTATGCTTTGGACTAAAAAAAAAATACTTTAAACTGAAAGCTATTGTATAAATTTGATAAAGACATATTACTGTACCTAATCTCATGACTTTCATTCTAAAAGAGATTAAATAAAACTTAATTCTATATGTGCAATCACCTGTAGGCAGCACAGGATGTTTGTGCAGCAGCAGAAGTCTAGACAGGAAGGAGAATTGAAAATCTTTCACTTCTTTTATTTATAAAAAAAAGAGAGCCCTGAAACACATACGAGGGTCATTCAAAAAATATGTAGACAGTGTCCTCCATCATCATATTATTCTTACAAAATTTTAGATCAACACATTTTTATATGTAAAAACATTTATCTTATCAGTGTGTAAAGTTTCATTTCATTTGATAAAATGGAACTCGTGTTAGACAATTTTAAAAGTAACATTTTTTGTCACCATGGAGCAAGGTTAACAACACTGTGACGTCAAAAACAACATCGAGAAATTTTCTTAAAATTACTCTGCCTTTTCATTTCATGCACGTTTTGTTGCTGCTTCTGAATTCATGAATCTATAGCCATTTACACCTAGTTCGCTAACAATAGTTTGAGTACCTTAAGTTAAATTGTCAATGTTTTCAAAGCTTAATAGCGTAACTCATGTTTGCACAGCTTCCGCAAAAGTGAATCGCACATCACATTTGATGACGTCGTTACTAACTCTTTGAAAGATATTTTTTATAATATAATATGTTTTTTCGCAGACCGTTCATGGTCCAATTTCAAGACTCTAACACTCAAAAAATAGTCATTCCCATTATAAACAAATGCATAGCACATTTTGTATCTATTTCCTGGTTCACCAAGCATTTTCAGAGTTCATTTTAAAGGTTTCCCGAATGGAAAACAAAATTTTATCGGTACTCGCTGCTCCGTGACGTCCTTCGACGTCATTGTTTTTTTGCTTTTTTTATGAAGTCTTTCTGCCTTTAAAGATTGAAATCTTTTAAACGAAGCGATGAATTACATTAAATTTTAGCATCTAAAGTAATTGAACACTTCTAAATTTAAACATTTCAAATTTATTTCATTTAAGAGCCATTTATTAGAGGTATGACTCCCAACATTATCAAGTGTATAATTAGAAAATAGGTCAATTTAGACCCTGCTCCGTGACCCCATTTTTCTGTCTTAAATCTTTGATAATTTTGATAATTTTCAAGATATTTTTACAATTTTTTGTCTCAAATTATTTGGATTTATTGTTAAAATATGTGTACTAAATTTGATAATAATATGACGTTAAATAAAACTAGATATCATTGAGATGGTGCCATCTCAAAGGGCCCCGCTTTCAACAATGAACATGAAAGTGTAAGGATGTTTAAAAGGGTTTATTTTGAAGAGGAACATTTGTGTAATACAGTTAGAGTAATTTAGTACGACTTCACGGATATTGCTAGGTACAGATATATATCGAAGTTATCTTGTATCCCCAGTTATATAAATTTACTGGAATTAAAGAGAAAAAATTATGCGCCAAACAAAGATTTTTAAACAGAGAGGCTAATTCTGACCATGCCCTTGAAACTTTGACCAATCTCACTGCACATCCATTGACCAGTGGAACTCTGTGAGTGAAGTAATATCGAAATTGGGCCAAGGAGAGAGAAGATATGCTCCTGACAAGGATAGTTCATAAAATTCTGCTATGACCTCGACCTTTGACCTAGAAACATGGTTCAAGGTCACTGCACACCAGCTTCCCAAAGGCACTCTGTGAGTGAAGTATGAGACAGATGGGGCTAAGGAGAGAGAAAAAATGCTCAAGACAAAGATTTTTCAGAAAATTCTGCTATGGCCCTGACCTTTGACCTAGAAACATGGTTCAAGGTCACTGCACACCAGTTACCCAAAGGCACTCTGTGGGTGAAGTATGAGCCAGATTGGACCAAGGAGAGAGAAGATATGCTCCGGACAAGAGATCTCGAACGACGGCCGGACAGCCGGACAAACTGATCACTATAGGGCGCCCGCCAAGCGGGGCCCTAATAATACTCACAAGAGATGTTTGCAAAACACTTATGCCCCCCTCCCCCACAAATTGGAATTTTTCTACATCCAAAAGGGCATAACTCTGTCAAAAATGATGTAATCATACCCAAAACATAGCTTGACCAAGATATTCATCTGACTAATCTGTATACTAAATTCCATTTCAATATGTGCAACCTATCCAAAGAAAATGAATGAAAACTGCAAAAATATGGAATTTTTCTAAGTCCAAGGGGCATAACTCTGTCAATTATGGTGCGGTCGTACCCAAAACAGAGCTTGACCAAGATATTCATCTGACTAATCTGTATACATACTAAATTACATTTCAATATGTGCAACCTCTCCAAAGAAAATGAATGGAAACTGCAAATAATTGGAATTTTTCTTAGTCCAAGGGGCATAACTCTGTCAATTATGGTGCGGTCGTACCCAAAACAGAACTTGACCTAGATATTCATCTGACTAATCTGTATACTAAATTCCATTTCAATATGTGCAACCTCTCTAAAGAAAATGAGCGGAAACTGCAAATGATTGGAATTTTTCTAAGTCCAAGAGGCATATCTCTGTCAATTATGGTGCGATCGTATCCAAAACAGAACTTGACCTAGATATTCATGTGATATACCTGTATACCAAATTTCATTTTAGTATGTGCACCAGTTATGAAAAAAATTAACGGAAACTAAATGGACCGACAGACAGACAGCAGGAAAGCAATATGCCCTCCCTTCTTCGAAGGGGGGCATAAAAAGTTATGACAAAAGTCTACGAACTTTTTGAATGACCCTCGTATTCATTTTTGAAATGAAATATATTGCTTACCAAGTGGTGGTTCCACTTCAAATAACTCATGCATGAAGTTATCACACTCATTACAGATATTGGCATCCCTCTCCCCCTTGTCCTGGCCCCGCCTGATCATGTCGTAATCATCAGCATCCTCCTGGAGCTTGAACATACCTCCAATACTCCAGATGAAAGAAAATGCAAACAGCTTCCCCAGCATGTCCAGGAGCTGATTGGGGTTCTTCTGTAGGTAGTATACCTTCTCACTTTGGAGGCTACAGAAGACAAAGCAAAAAAGGTCAAAATCAGGGAATAGTCACATAGATTCTTTAAGATTTTTTTTCATCTGATATATGTTGATACCAAGGGCCATGAAGTTCACAGTTATTGAAGAGACACTCTTGGTCATCATAACTATGTTCTTACAGACCCTAAACCGTGCTACTACACCTCAGAAATGAACCGTACCGTTCCATACACAAAGCGTACCGTACCATCCACAAAGCGTACCGTTCCGTGCTCAAAGCGTACTGTACCGTTCACAAAGCGTACCGTTCCGTGCAAGAAACGAACCGTACTGTTCTTTGGTTAATTATGCAAACCACGCCCCCAATTATTTTTGAACTGTTCAATGACCAAATAAGTCATTTTGGCTTATTTTTCGCAAAAGCACCTGTGAAAGGAGGAGGGAGTTGTGTCTGGCTGTTCGAAACACCATTATCAAGTATCACGCATCTGGGCTTTCAACTGTGAAAATAAAGGAAATTACTCGAAATAAACAACTTCAAAACAACAAGACAGAGTTTGAGACGCTTCCTTATATGCTATAAAGTAGATCAACTCATTGTGTTTGTAATCAAAGGTACAGTACAGACCACGGGTTTTTCCCGCAAAACACGTGGCACCGTGAACCTCGAACTTGATGTCGGCATCCTTGATGTCAGCGATCGTGGACACCATGTAACAAGGTGTATCACTGTAGTGCCCCGGAATTATTCTTTCCGGATTTGTTGGTTTTTACTTTATTTTTATTGTAAACCGGAAACGATCTAAGGCATCAGTGCCAACCTCGTGGGTTCCAGAACCTAGCTTATTTACTGCATTTAAAGCCCCCTATGAAGTAAGTTTTGTGATTTTTCATTTACTATTATGTGTAGGCAATGCATAATATTCATTATCTAGTCATATGTAATTTTTTTAATGTCATATTGAGTCGAGGCGCACTTGGTGCGTTTTTTACCTGTCTTTGTTTTAATCGTTAAAATTGATTGCAACAGTTGATTGATTATTCCATTTTTAATACATCTGTAAACATGCTAGGGATAAACTATGTTGATGTCTGTCTATTATCTTATGGAAATAATTTCGTTAGAACAGCTCCTCCTTGAAATCTGTTAAAAATTCAAAACTATGGAAACCCGCTCTAGTCATATTTTTATTATGTATGTTTTATATCAACATATTGCTTACATTTTTGTATTGTTTGTTTGTAGTTTTTCACCCTCTCCGGGGGTTTGGATGCAATAAACTCATTCAACATTGCACAGTGAAAAATTCATAGCCGAGCTAGTGATTGATTGAATGGAAAGTTCAGCGACAAACATCAGCCAGATAAGTCCTCCTACAGCCATGTCTTCAGGGAGAAGGTCTTCCTCCATAGCTTCAGAGCTAGCCAGACACCGGGCCAAATTAGAAGCGGCAAAAGTGCGGGAAAAATTTCCGCAACAAGAATTTGAGATGGAGAAACAAAAAGCCATACTTGACCATGACCTTAAAATTCTACAGTGCATAAGAGAGATGGAGGAGGCACAGATTGAAATGAACAGTCTAGATTATTTAGATGAAGAATCAGATGAGAATTTTACAGATAAAGAATACCAAAACCTTCAGAAAGTTGCTCAAGAGAGAGTTGAAGAGTTTGTACAGCAGCAGTCGGAGCTAAAGACTGGATTGGAGAAAAAGGAACAAAGTGTCGTACCAAATAACATTACACTGTCTCCTATGGCACCAGCATGTGTTCCAAAACAAGACTCGAGCAATGGACATATTAATGAAGTACTTCACAGGATGGAAAACAAGTTTTAAAAACATTGTGAGTGAACTGAACTTAACATCCTTGGAAGAGTTAGAACTATTGAATAAGTGGTTGGGACCAGAATCAGCGAGATATGCACAAAGCATAAGGACCGCCAGTGTGAATCCTGATGTCGCTTTAGCCCGACTACGGGAACGCTTGGAGGACAGGTATGGTAGACCTGAGATGATCCAAGCGGCACTGAAAAACAAACTTTCAGCCTTCCCGAAACTCAGTATTAAAGACAACAAGCGGTTATATGACCTCGTAGACATTGTGTCAGAAATAGAAGCAGCAAAGGAAATTCCACACCTCTCTTCGCTTTTCGCATACTTTGACTCGTCAAGTGGAGTGAACCCCATTGTGTCAAAACTCACTTACCAAATCCAAGAGAAGTGGCCCTTGCAGAATATTCCTGAGATGTCCTAAGAAATCCTAAGACAATCTTAAGATTTATTCCTCGGATATCTTGAAAAAATCCTAGGATTATTCCTAAGATTTCCTGAGATGTTTTTGGAACAGGAATTCCTGGGATTTCCTTGGACAGTCCCAATTCAGGGGTTCTAGAAAAATCCCAGGAATCAAAACACCAAGACTTCCCAGGATATCCCAGGAAAATCCCAACACTTAAAATGTCCTAGGAAATCAGGAATTCCTAGGATTTCCTAGGATATCCTAGCCTCCTAGGACATCTTTTTTTTTTTTTTTAAAAATCATACATAGCAACAAAGCAGAATTATAAGATCTCTGAAAAAAATTTAATGAATGTATGCATTATAAAAATTCATGGCCACACAGAAAAAATAATACATAAAATAATTTTTAAAGAATGCTGATGGTATCTGATACAACAAATTCTTTACAATTTTACTGCTGTAACATTATAGTGCAGTTATGATTCAACATCATGATTTACACACAAGGGGGGAAACAGATTGTCTTATTTTCAAACTATGTTGATACATTCTGAAGCAGCTCTCATAGAATATTTATGATATACATGTACAATGACAAATATTAATAATAATAAAAAAATATTTAAATCAACAACCTAGTGTAGAGAGTAGGGGTGAGGCCCTCAGAGTTCGTCACTTCTGAAGAATTCTGTACAATAAAAGATTCAGATACCAAACAGAACTAATTCATAACACCCCCCCCCCCCCCCCTAAAAAAAAACAAAAACAGTATGCACCTGGTGGCAACAAAGTTTGAAAAAGAAAAAACATATAACAAAAACAAAAACATATAGGTCAAAGTCACAAGGTCATTAACCTTGATGTAATTTGAAAGAACTTAATTAGTGGAGTATGGATACTCAATATAAAATATCTACCTTTTATGGTTCAAAAGTAAAAGATTCAATAAGGCTTTATTTTAGCATAACGATGACAGTCAAGGTCATTGGTCTTGGTCTCATTTGAAAGTGGAGTAAGCATACCCAATATGAAGTATCTATATCTCTCATAATTCAAAAGTTATGGCAAAAGGTAAATTGGCAATAGACAGATAAACAGACAGGCAAAAACAATATGTGCCCCCGAAAGAGGCCTTGACCTCTGACCATTTCATTTCAAAATATATATGGGTAATATTTAATTTATAAACAATATTAAATTTGTATTGATGATTAATCATGTTCTGCAGTGGGATCGTCAAAATGAGTTATAATATAAAATGTCATTGCAATATCTGATGGCTTTTTGGAAATGTTAAGAGAACGAAGTGTTACAGACAGACAGATTGACAAACAGAAAGATAAACAGACCCAAATTAATATCCCCCCTGCACCTCGTCAATCCAATATAAGTCGCTCAGCTTTAGTTGATCACTGATGTATCTTCTTTAGATGTACATTTTTCTTCTTCATCGCCAGTGGCCTAGTTGCAGATCGTGAAGCCTTGTTTGCTTTTTCTTCACTCAACTTTTCACTTGTCTTTGCTAAAATAAAATTTTACTTAATGTATTCCATTGTTTAGTCTAAATATGTAATTATTTCTAAGGGATGAAAATCAAACTTGTAAAATTTAGTAGCCAAAGATGCTACATGTATCAAGCTTTCAGATTCTACCAGTCCATAAAAATATGTGTTAAATTTGCCCTAGGAAGATGAACCATTTTTCTCAAAAGATTTATTTTATTCACACTTGCATAAGGAATAAGGTATGTTAATCAATTGCATACATGACATGATTTACAAATGATGTCATAATAATCTTACTGAATAGCCTTTTTGTAGAAAATAAAATTTTAATTCGCAATAGTTAACCGCCTTACCAGTTTACCACAGCTGTCGTATAAAGTCAATTTACTTGGCATTAAAATACTGTGAATTAAACTCTCCGTGTGAACAGAACATTAAAATCATACATTAACATTATTTGAACAGCTTACCTTTCTCGGCAATATTCTCCTTGTTGTAATTTGCTTCTTTTCCCTTAGTCCGAGTTAAACAGTCTGCAAAGTTATCAATAAAATTTTTTATAAGACGTGTATATAATATTTGTTCTTTTGTAATCTAGCTGAAATTAATTTTAACTAGAAAACTGACCAGTCAGCAAGGGCCCCGCCATGGGGTAGAATTAAAAGGGTGCAGCTTACAGAATGATTACCGGTAATAAATGTACAAAGAAAAAGCAACAGCAACTGTATTCTTAAAATTTCAACATAATTCCTGAATATTCAAAAACCTGAAAATAATATTCTTGTATTTACATTAGGCAGTAAAGAACAACTTAACATTGAATTTATATTTAAACAATTATGAATCTTGTGTTATATAAAATGCCAGCCTTCAATGAATGCAAATATCATGAAGGCTTGGCCTTAACTTCAAACAAACAGCAGTTGCAGACAAAGGTTTTCATTAATCTTAAAGTGACAGATAAAGAGAAGCCTACTAAATTTTCTGCAGCAGGCTAGATAATTAATCCCAAGGGATTAATTGTACCTCTCTCATCATTTTCTTCTAAAGTTACAATAAGAACTTTTTCAGTATTAATGATAGAATGGAGTTTTTATACAACTACATTAAAAATTATAAACATTCTTGAATTAATATATTTAAAAAAAAAAAAGGAAAAAAGTGAAAAAAAAGTACCCTGGTAAATCAAAAAATCTTCTTTAATCTATTTCTTTTTCTAGGATCCAATGAAATCATAACTATCAAACTAAAATAAATAATAAAAAATTATATTTAAATCCACATTTCAGAGTGTTCATGGCATTCCAAATTGATTTAACTTCAAAACAAACTTCATTTGCAGACAGAGGTGGTAATTAATCTCAATGTGACAGATAAAGATAATGCTCTGGATTTTCTTCAGGAGGAAAGCTAATTAATCCCATGGGACTCCTAGTAGTATTCAGTTTACTGAATGGGAACATCTTCAGCAGTTATCTCTCTTTGCCAATGCATTCTTATATAAAGTTAAGGAATCTACCCCACCACCCCAGCTCCAAACCAAGGGACATAGAGAACCAAACTTAGCATCAAAATATGTATTTTTGCCTACTGAACTACCTTACCAAATTTGATCTTAATTGGGCAACCATAAAAAAAGTTGCCCGTTCATTCTTATGCATAGTTAAGGAATCTACCCCACCACCCCAGCTCCAAACTAGAAGACATAGAGAATCAAACTTAGCATCAAAATATGTATTTCTGCCTAATAAACTACCATACCAAATTTAAACTTGATTGGGCAACCATAAAAAAAGTTATTAGAAAAAAACAGAAAATTTGTGGACGGAAGAGTGACAGACGGACAGACAGACGGACGGACGGACAGACAGAGTGATTACTATAGGGCACCCGCAAATCCTTGCGGGGCCCTAATGATGGCTGTCATTGATATTTCTTGCTGATTTTTTCATTTTTCTGTTCTAAATTTTGCGAATATTATCTTATGAGTTCTACGATATCTGTGTCAGTTTTCCCAACTTAATACAAGTTACAGAGATTGAAATGTACCATAAACTTTCATAGATGACTTTCACATTTACAAAAGTTATTCCCCTTTGCGAGGTCAATCCAGGGTCAACCGGCGTAAGACACTGTTTCCCCTCTATTACCTTACCAACTTTATGTATACGTCCAGTATCTCAGAAATATAGTATGTATGAATTTGTTCATTATGTTTTTAAAGTTGCCCCATATTCTGGCAATACAGTTACAGACCGATATTGTTAGATATAAATGTCTGAAAATAAAAATATTTCCAGGTAACTTACAAAGGACAAAGTGGGAGAAATGAGTGTTACGCCGACAACCGGAGATAACTCTTAGGAATGTGAAATCTGTATATTCTTTCAAGTTTAGAAAAAATTTTTTTTTTAAAAATTACAAGATACCTGAAACTTTCTCTTCATTTGGTAGTCTCAATGGGAGTTTCCAGTCTCATAATCCTTCCCAGGCTTCAAGGTTCTGGCTAGAAGATAACAATGCAATGAAGGCTTTATTTAACAGTATAATTCCAAAATTTACACCATGTCAAAACATTCAATGCAAATTTAACAGTACTTAACTGATAATAAATATTTGTTTATAAGTCTTCTGCTTACTAAATTTTAACATGTAAAACCTGGAAATATTTCACTGTGTTAAAAAAAAAATAATGTACGTTTGATCTTCATGGACTAGACTGAATCACAGTATGCCCAAAAACCTTTTACACATATTCAAATCGTTTCTTCTGTTTCAATATTGAAATAATAAACAACACATCACATGCACTAAATTATTAAACAATATTTGTGTGTTTAAATACATATTACAAGGAACCACTTGCCACTTACCCCACTGGCCTGTGGCCATGATATCTACACTTCTTCCAACGTTCCCTTTACTGCACTCCTAGCGAAACCAAGATTTTTGGGAAAGAGAACATGGTTTATGTGAAGAATTAGAGTCAATCTTGGGCGTAAGTTGTGCATTTCATTACACTTAACCAGTCTCTCTAAACATTGCCGCTCCTTGAACTCCTATTTTGCGCTTCTCGATGAAGTCTCGCGAGAGGATGATACAGGACGGTGTAAAGTTATTTCGTGCCACACCAAGAAAATGCGGTTTGTTTATTCTTGAAAATAATTTGTGATTAATGTGAATTTACGTTTTTTTTTTTTTACAAAAAGAAAATATATTTTAGCGAATATTTTCTGATAAATTAATATTCAAAGCTGAGTGTACAGTAAAATATATTTTATACATCGGGTACCAATTGATCGAAGATCACTTTTTTTACCACCTCTCGGAAGTTCGCGCGCAGACACGGTGTAGGGGTATTTTGTACACCTTTAAGAAATATCCCGACATTTTCCCGAGAATCTTGTTTAAAAAAACACGTAAGTTATTTTCAGTGACAAACGACCTGCATATTAGAAAAATAAAAAATAAATATCCTTGATCAACCAATTCTACTCACAGAAAGTGTTACAGAAGAAACCACAATGATACATTTAGGCCAAGAACAATTTGCATGGAAACCGTCCAAACACAAATATGGCGGATCGTGAAGTTGTCACATGTGCTGTAAACAACGACTTTTCTTCGTATCTACAAGCCTGTCACGATGTCTGTAAGTATCTTATTGCTAAGTGATGAATGAAAATTAGTATATCTGGCTATAAAACTATAGGGAAAGCGCATTTTTATCGTATTAAATAGTTATGTTACGACTCGAATTTGGTCAAAACCTTTGAAAAGTTTTTTTTGATCTTTGTTTATGTGGATAAAATTTTCAGGAAACTCTATAAGTTTTACTGCGTTTTTTTTAGATTTTCCTCGTTAAATAAAAGCAATACTCAATATCAAAAACATGAGGAATTATATTCTCAAACTCTGACAATACAACACGATTCTAACCCAACAATATTTGAAATACCAAGCTTTTTAAGTCAGAAAGTGACGAAAGTATGATGTCACAGACCAAGTCATGCTTCTTGAATATGCTGTTTATGTAGTACTTAAATTTGTGTAGTGTACTCTTCTTTCAATGACTCAATAATTACTTTTCTTTTGTCTAGTCTCTCTGGCAGTTATGGGTGAATATACAGCGAAATCATACAGATTTGGATGAAGATGTTAAAGATAGTAAAGTCAAAGACAGTTTGATGAACCAAATGACACTGATAAAGAAGAAGATACAAAAAAAAGATACTTCTAGCCAGGCATGTAACTTTGAAGCTGATAGTTTGGTAACCACCTGAGAGATATATAACGTGTATGCAGGTGATGACGGTATAGGAGAGCCATTTCTTATAACGTGCTCTGAGGAAAATATGTTTTATTTTGTCGAAATGAAATGCGAAGTGAAAAATTAAATTGACAGATGAAGAAAATTTACCACTCCATCCTTCTGTTGTATTAATACTTGATGTTGTATTGCAAGATGGCCAAGTTTGTATGACCAGTGCTTTCGAAAAAAAAACTATGCTTGCACTCAGTTTCCCATGAACGAAGCAATCTAAAGATTAAGTGTAGAATTTAATTCTAATGGATAAAAATCAACTCAGAAATGTGTGATTTGAAAATGGTGAAATATTGTTTGTCTGTAAACAATTTTTTTTTAAAAACATATTTATACATGTATAACTCCTCCCTGACAGCATCAATATTTCAGAAAGTATTTAATTTAAAAAATAGTTCTAGGGTCAGTGTCTTTCTATGTATCAAGTATAATATGTAATGATTGAAAATTATTCATTTTATGATTTTCTTGATATTATACATTAAAACTTTAAAAGTAATAAAATTTCCTGTCATTCTGTTTTAACATATATTAACATGTACAAGTTTGTAAAGTTTAATTTGTCTATTTTACAAAAGTCCCAACATTAAGTCAAAAGTCTTAGGAGATGGGATTATCTTAAAAATGATTAACTCCTGGCTTTACAATGAAATGTCCTGGCAAGATTTGGATTTGAAATGTTTAACAAAGAAGTCCTGGGAGATCCTAGGATGTCCTGAAATCAAATCCCAGGATTGTTACTCCTAGGATTTCCTCAAATCAGATTGTGAGGAAATCTTAGGAATTCTTAGGACATCTTAGGAATTCCTGAGAAGCATTTTCAAGTCAGGAATAATTTCTGCAAGGGGGACCAGGCATGCAAACAGCTTCAAAGAAAATCACTACATGACTTTTCCACCCTTCCATGTTTTCTGTAAATTTCTCCGTGACACGGCACAAATGAAAAATGACCCATCCTTTTACTATGACAATGTGATCGAGAACGCCAAAGTTGTTCAGGACGGAAGTTGAGGAAAGCCACAGTACCCTACAGGTGCTTCATCTGTTGCCACAAGGAAAACTGACACGAATGGTTCAAGGCCCATGGACAAGACAGAACACACACAACTGTGCCCCTTACATGGGACTGCACCTAGGGTGGGTAGTGATCGGTGAGGTATGCTACGGGGCTTCAAATTCTCAGGAATCTTTGTCAGTGTGTAAGACATATACTAGGACAAATGGGCGTATGTCTCTCATGGATACTTGCGAAAATTCATTTCAACTTAAGGAAGCCGACATATTCGCTAAGACAAAGCATGACGACTCACCAGGCCTCTCCGTAGAGGATAAGAAGTTCATTGACATCATGGAGCAAGGTTTTGAAAGAGATTCTGAAGGATGTTGGAGTGCACCACTTCCATTTAGAGAAAACCGACCCCTCCTTCCGAGCAATAGAATTCACGCACTTCACAGGGCAAATCTACTCACCAGAGGACTTCAGAAGGACCCTGACAAAAAACAGCATGTCATGGAATTCATGAGGAAACTCCTGGATAATGGCCATGCTGAGATTGCACCACCACTTTCTTCTCCAGAGGAGGAACATTGGTACCAGCCGCTTTTCGCAGTTTACCACGTGCACCCCAAGAAAGGAAGCGTCAGATGTGTGTTTGATTCATCTGCACAGATTCAAGGACTCAGTCTCAACAGTGTTCTCTTGACCGGACCAGACTTGGTAAACAGCCTTCTTGGAATCCTGCTAAGGTTTTGCCAGTTCCAGGTAGCAGTGACAGCAGATGCAGAACAGATGTTTTACCGCTTCTCAGTTCCAGCATGTCACCGAAACTATTTACGATTCTTTTGGCACAAAGACAATGATGTAGAGAAAGAACTTACAGAGTACAGGATGAAGAGACATGTCTTCGGGAATAGTGCATCCCCAGCAGTAGCTACTTTGGGACTTCGCAGAACTGTAAGAAATGCCGATGAGGATGTCAGACAAATTGTGAGTAGAAACTTTTACGTCGACGATGGGCTGCGAAAACGCAGAAAATTCTTATGGAGGAAGGGAACATCAGGTTGCATAAACTGGCTTCCAATGATTCGAAGGTATGCGCCGCATTTCCAAACAATGACTTAGCCAAAGAACTCAAGGACCTGAACCTAGATTTAGATGAAACACCCCTTCAACGGACCCTTGGTGTGAGCTGGAATGTCTCCACAGACATGTTTACATTTCAAGTCTTGCGTACTCTTCACCCTTATACACAAAGGGGAGTACTTGCAACCATCAACAGCCTTTATGACCCAATTGGATTCCTTGCACCTGTAATAGTCAAAGGGAAAATGATACTACCTTGCCTTGATGGCCGAGAAATTAGACTGGGATGACCCACTCCCTGAGGACCAGTACTCTCTGTGGTGTGAGTGGCGAGAGTGATTGCCAGCATTAGAGGACATAGCAATACCAAGGGCTTATGCTTACATCAATAGTGAGGAGGTCTTGCACAGAGAACTACACATATTTGCCAATGCGTCACAGAAGGCAATTGGTGCAGTGGCCTACATGAAGACTTTCAAGGCAGACGGCACCCCTCATGTAGGATTTGTCCAGGCAAAGGCAAAGGTGGCACCTGTACATGGGCACACAATTCCACGTCTGGAATTGTGTGCAGCTGTGTTGGCTTCTCAACTGAAAAGTATGATTTTGAATAACCTAGATGTTGAAATAGCTGCCACGACCTTGTATTCTGATAGCAAGGTCGTACTTGGATACATCAACAATGAACGCAGACGATTCTACATATATGCGGGAAATAGAGTAGAAAGAATACATCAGGCGACATCTTCTCATGAGTGGGAATATTGTCCTACAGATCAAAACCCCGCAGACATTGCCACCAGGTCAATCAAGCCCTGCGACCTTCAAGAAAGCAGAGGCTTATGTGATCCCCATTTCCTTAAGAACACAAGAGATGAAAAGTATAATCAGGAATCAGGAAATCCCACTGACAGATTCCCATTGGTCGATGTGGAACAAGATAAGGAAGTGAGGCCTATTGTGAAGACCTTGCATACCACATGCAAGGATGAAGTATACCACTCCTGATGTGAGCGATTTAAGAATTTCTCCTGGATCGGACTAGTCAGAGCTATTGCACGACTGCAGCACCTTGCTCACTCCTTTAACAAGTCTAGTAGCTGCGTGGGATGGCACCATTGTTCGGTCCCGTAGAGTGCTGAAGCTTACAAAAGAGCAGAAGAATTCATTATCAAGGCAGTTCAGAGAGAATACTTCCTGGAGGAAGTTGAGAGCCTTATGGAGGGGAGAGAAATTAAGAAAGGAAACCCTATCTTGGGATTGTCACCGTTTTTAGACTCCAGAGGACTTCTTCGTGTTGGAGGAAGATTGAGGCGTGGAACCAAATCACTTCGGCAGATTGAAACTTGTCCTATTTTGATACCGAAGGGAAGTCATTTAGCAACGTTATTAGCTCTGCATTGTCATGAACAGGTCTTTCATCAAGGTCGACGCCTCACAGGAGGGAAACTTCACAGCATGGGATTCTGGATTGTGGGAGCAAAAAGGTTTATCAACAGTCTTCTGGGGAAATGTGTCACCTGCAAAAGATTGCGTGGTACATTCCACTCTCCTAAAATGGCTGAACTTCCTGAAGACCGTTTAAGTCCTGGACCCCCTTTTACTTACGTCGGAGTAGATGTATTTGGTCCGTGGAGCATAACCGCACGCAAAACCAGGGGAAGTCACGTAACGCAGAAAAGATGGGCTGTACTTTTCACGTGTTTAACCAGCAGGGCAGTCCACATCGAAATCTCAGAGGAACTCAGCACCTCAAGTTTCATCAATGCGATGAGGCGCTTTATCGCCATTCGAGGACCAGTCAAGATCTTTAGATCAGATCGTGGCACCAACTTTATCGGTGGAGTCAAAGAGCTGGGGATGAAGAATGTTGTGACCGAAGATGCCTCTGTCAAGAACTTCTTAGCGGAAAATGGCTGTGTTTGGATTTTCAACCCACCACATGCTTCCCATTTCGGAGGTGTGTGGGAGCGAATGATCGGAATCACGCGAAGGATTCTAGATGGGATCTTGCTGAGCAAAAAGTACATCAAAGATCTTACTCATGAAGTGCTTGTTACCCTCATGGCCGAAATCAGCGCTGTCATGAACTCCAGACCAATCGCGGCAATATCCACAGATCCTGATGACCCGTCCATATTAGTGCCAGCCAGTCTTTTGACCCAGAAGGTTGGAACACCACCAGATGACATCCCTCAGTTTGGTATAAAAGATATATACAGGTCACAGTGGCAGAGAGTCCAGGTGATGGCAGATGAGTTCTGGAAAAAGTGGCAGAAAGAGTACCTGACGGGACTTCAGACCAGGAGAAAGTGGGCGACGGACCAACCTAACCTAAAGACAGGTGACATTGTTCTGTTACGCGAGTACGACTCTGGACGCAACTCATGGCCGACTGCTATGATCAAACAAACTTTCCCAGGAGCTGATGGAAGAGTGCGAGAAGTGGAGATCCATTTGTTTAGAGGAGAGAAAGAGTTCACTTACGTCCGTCCTGTTCATGAACTTGTCCCATTGATCACTGATTGAATTAACATTTGTACATATGCAAACTGCTTTAATGTGTTTACATTGTTTGTGTTTTGATGAATAAGAATAATTGTTTTCTCATCACCCTTTATGTAAGGTCTTATTAACCCTTACAGAAAAAACTAATAGAAACTTATAAGTGTTTTATAATCCACTTATTAGCAACTTATAAGTCACTTATAAATTTTGAAATTTACTTATAAGTGTACTATAAGTCAAAGTAAGTATAAGTGAGGAACGGATTTCATTAATACTTCACTTATAAGTAAAGATGAGCTACATATCAGTGAATATTTCACTTATACCTCACTTATAAGTGAAGATCAGTATGGTATGAGTGAAGTATAAGTGTGGACTTAGAATTTTTACCCTATTGACTTCTCTCAAGGAGCATTATGGGTATTCAAGGTAGCCAATCAGAAAGTTTGTCTCTGCAGAGATCAGCAACAAGAATTTGAAACCAAGTTTGTGTCTGTGAAAGGATGTTTGAGATTTTAGATTTATTTTGAGTATGCCTTCACATCAGGTACAACAATTAGGTTCTATTTACATCATTTCTCTATTTTAACTTCCTTTGCCTGAAATTTTGAATCAATTGACTCAGTTGCTTTCAGATTTCATAAATTTGAAGAAGCCTCAAGGTCATTAAATCTTGTTGCCTTTTTGTTCAACATTTTTGTTTGTAAACTGAATTTATGTTAAGTTTGCATCATCAAAGAAATGTCATATGAAAGTGATTTTTTTCCATAAAATTTTTACTCGATTATTTCATGTAAAGTGCAGATACATGTGTATATGTAAAAAAAATAGCTTTGAACAATCATGCAACCCCTGCATGGTTGGAAGTTCTGTTCTATAGTGTTGTACTTCACTTATAGTCACTTATAAGTGACTAATACTTGATAAAGTAAGGGTTAATGCTTGATTATAAGTCACTTATAGTCACTTATAAGTTACTTGCATAAAGCATGTGGCTAATACTTTATAAGTCACTTATAGGTCAAGCAGCTCATTTGCATATAAAATCCTAATGAGTAACATATTAGTCACTTATAAGTTAAATGTATCAGTGAAGTGTAAGTCCAGAATAAACAACTTATAAGTAAAAGAATAAATCACTTATAAGTCACTTATCAGAAATTTCTGTAAGGGAATTGTCAGTTTGTTTTGGAATATTTCATTAGGGTGATTTTTTGTAAAATCAGGAGGGGAGTGTAGTGCCCCGGAATTATTCTTTCCGGATTTGTTGGTTTTTACTTTATTTTTATTGTAAACCGGAAACGATGTAAGGCATCAGTGCCAACCTCGTGGGTTCCAGAACCTAGCTTATTTACTGCATTTAAAGCCCCCTATGAAGTAAGTTTTGTGATTTTTCATTTACTATTATGTGTAGGAAATGCATAATATTCATTTTCTAGTCATATGTAATTTTTTAACTGTCATATTGAGTCGAGGCGCACTTGGCGCGTTTTTTACCTGTCTTTGTTTTGATCGTTAAAATTGATTGCAACAGTTGATTGATTATTCCATTATTAATACATCTGTAAACATGCTAGGGATAAACTATGTTGATGTCTGTCTATTATCTTATGGAAATAATTTCGTTAGAACAGCTCCTCCTTGAAATCTGTTAAAAATTCAAAACTATGGAAACCCGCTCTAGTCATATTTTTATTATGTATGTTTTATATCAACATATTGCTTACATTTTTGTATTGTTTGTTTGTTACAGTAGTTTTTCACCCTCTCCAGGGGTTTGGATGCAATAAACTCATTCAACATTGCACAATCACAGTTCCCCATTACGGATCTGATAATAAATATTTTCATTTTCTTTATTTGAGCAAATTAAATCAACTTCTTTTTGAAATATTTGTTGTACTTAAATATTCGTAATTAAACTATACAGATGTTTTAACTAATTCCCTGGTTTTCCTGACTTAAGATTTTAATTTTGCCCATTTAAATTATTGAATCAGATACGTGATCCTTTTTGCCGTAAGTGTGCATTCATATGTAGTTCATATCAGATGCGTGATTTTACTAATTAATCATTAATTTTGTAAGAATTTTAAAACATATATGAACTGTCTAGAGTAAAAAAAAAAACTTTATTAGATTCGCACATTAATTCTGCTCAGCTAATTACTCAGCGAATCATTGATGCAGTTAGACTTACACTGAAAATCGGTAATTATTTCAAATATGGATTAAAATATTACATGCAGTAAACAGGAAGATTTCTACTGAACGGATAGAGATGATAATCTGACTAATAAAATTGTGATCAATTTACAAGCTGCATACAAAAAAAGAAAAAAAAACAAACAATTTGCGAAAAATTATAGAAATTATAAGGTTTGTTACACTGTACCGCCATCCCCTTTCATGAAAACGATACGAATTAGCAGGTTATAAGTTCTTTAGAAGTGTGTAAAATATTACGTTGTAAATTAAAAAAAAAAAAAAAAAATCATAATCTACAGGACACCTGCTTATTTGTGTCTGGAAAAGGACAATTTACTAAATAAAATGAAAACCAGAAGTCTCTGTCGAGACTTAAGCTCTACTGGATTGTACTTATAGCAACGGGAGAGAAAAGTACTTAAGCAGTTGGGAATTGGAACTTTACAGCAGCAATAAAAAGAATAATGATCCTTGATTAAGTCTCTTTAAGTTCTTAGTGTAGTCTACTTGTGTGCCATGGTTATATTAAAATCAGACCAAAACTGTAGGAGGAGTAGCGTTTTGAAAGAATTTCACAGAAATTTCTGTTTTTAGTAACAACGGCAACATCGTTCATCCAAATCAAAATCCGATAAACAGAATTATGTATCTTAGTGTAGTCTACTTGTGTGCCAAGTAATATTGAAATCAGACCAAAACTGTAGGAGGAGTAGCGTTTTGAAAGAATTTCACAGAAATTTCTATTTTTAGTAACCACAGCAACACCGTTCATCCAAATCAATAAAGTGCCGCGCCACAGCATGATACGCCCGTCAAAAAAATTACAATTTTCTTGAACAGTTTAGGTGCAAGAAAATCACATCAAACTTGCCCGTGATTCTAAGATTTCGATGATTTTTCCATTCCTTAAAATATTTATCCATCCCCTGTGATGTAGGCATCAATTATAATAAATATTATTTAACTGATAGATTTCTGTGCTGGTTGTGTTAGACCTTGTCAAATGCCCATCATCAAATTAGTCTTAACAACTTAATCTATACCAAATTAATTGTGAAAAAAAAGGCTGGCCATCAAATGACATATGTTATAAACTGACCAGCAGTTCTTCTGTCTAATCCCCAAAGGGTACAGATAAGAGACAGCTAGCCTTCCTACATTGAACTCATTAATTAATCTTTAACTGGATGCTTGTCTACTCATTACTACCAAGAGATGAATGGGTCTGCACTATCTACTATAAATTTTGTTTAAAAACATATAAAATACTCAAAGATTTTTTTGGGGGGTTGAGATTTAATGTCCAACAGGTTTTAATATGTAATTCATATGGACATGCTGATTACACCCCACCCCATAAAATTAGTTTTTAAATAAATAATATTACATAATATCAGATTAGTCTACAATGCAATATCAAATTAGTTTTAATTATATACTTTTCATCAAATTAAGCTGGTCAACAAGAGCTATAGCCTATTTTTAATCAAACAGGCTTACCCATTTGCCCAATACTCAAGGGACAGATAACACCAATGCTCTGGCAGTTAGCTCCTCGCACTCAAAACCCATTAATTTCTCTCTAATTTGACATGCAATTTTCTGTTATCAAAATTCTTCTTGACCAGTGTTTGATAATTACACTCAATGGAGAGGTAGGATTTCTCTAACATACATTATATTTTTTATAGATTGCTATCAAGTATATGCTTGGGTCTGCACTATCTACTATAAATTTTGTTTAAAAACATATAAAATACTCAAAGATTTTTTTGGGGGGTTGAGATTTAATGTCCAACAGGTTTTAATATGTAATTCATATGGACATGCTGATTACACCCCACCCCATAAAATTAGTTTTTAAATAAATAATATTACATAATATCAGATTAGTCTACAATGCAATATCAAATTAGTTTTAATTACTTTTCATCAAATTAAGCTGGTCAACAAGAGCTATAGCCTATTTTTAATCAAACAGGCTTACCCATTTGCCCAATACTCAAGGGACAGATAACACCAATGCTCTGGCAGTTAGCTCCTCGCACTCAAAACCCATTAATTTCTCTCTAATTTGACATGCAATTTTCTGTTATCAAAATTCTTCTTGACCAGTGTTTGATAATTACACTCAATGGAGAGGTAGGATTTCTCTAACATACATTATATTTGTTATAGATTGCTGTCAAGTATATGCTTTAATAAAATAAGTATTTTCTTGATTTAACACTTTTTTAATAAGGACAGTGCAATACTCTTACATTATTTGGGATGTGTAAATAAATAGTAAAAAGACATATTTTTTTTTTAATTTCACTTAAATTAAAGGTCACAGTGACCTTGAAATAGGTCGCGACACACCTTCTACCTAAGACACATAAACTGGCCAAATTTGATGATTGTAAGTCTTATGGTTTTCTTGTTATGGGCCGGAAAGGATTTTTCCATATTTGGCTATAACTTCTTAATTAAAGGTCAGAGCAACCTACTTTTTGTGAACGACACACCTTCTACCCAAGATGCATCAGATGACAAAGTTTGATATTCCTAGGCCTAGTAGTATTAAAGTTATGAGCCGGAAACTAAAAAGCTAACAGACAGACGGACGGACGGACGGACACGAAGCCTATAACATAATACGTCCCCTCTTAAGATGGGTGTATAAAAACTGATATACAGAATTATGTATCTTAGTGTAGTCTACCTGTGGGCCAAGTTATATTGAAATCAGACCAAAACTGTAGGAGGAGTAGCGTTTTGAAAGAATTTCACAGAAATTCTATTTTTAGTAACCACGGCAACACCGTTCATCC